CAGGAGCTCGGGGCTCGGCGCTGCGCTCTGCATCGCTCCTGGTCTCTCCTACTGCCCTGCACAGCGAGAGGTTTGGCTTAGGGTTTGTGTGCAGCTGCAGTGCCTTCATCGCCTGTTTGCAACGAATTAGAGCTAGGTGTAATAAATTTATAATGGAATGAATTAGGGGAAAACGCTGTTAAGTCTTCAGTGTGGCTGATACCTTGGATAGGTTGCAGTCAGGTGGGGGTTGGTCTCTTCTCCCAGGCAACCAGCAGCAGGACAAGAGGGCACAGACTCAAGCTCTGCCAGGGGGGGGTTAATTTTTTACAAAGAGAGTGATCAGACATTGGAATGTGCTGCCCAGGGAGGTGGTGGATTCACCATCCCTGGAGGTCTTCAAGGTGAGACTGGATGTGGCACTTAGTGCCATGGTCTGGTAACGGCAGGAGGGTTGGACTCGATGGCCTTTGAAGTCTCTTGCAACCTGGTTGATTCTATGATAGAAAAGCCTGGATTTATGCCTTGCTTACTGCAGGCTGTGCTGTGACTTGCAGTGAGCTGGGGCTGTTTGGGTCAGCAAGTAGATTTCAGAGTGAAGTAGTTCCTTTTCTAGCTGGTAGTCCCAGTGTTTGCAGGAAAGTCTCCCCAGCAGAAGTTCATTAGTCACAGGATTACTGAGCAAAAGGCTGTTCTCAACCACAAGTAGAATGCAAAGGGTCCTGGCTCACATCCTGGGCACCCTGAGGGTCCTTGTGCCCTGCTGTTCGTTAGAGATGGGAATCCCTGCCCCAGTGTGGCCCTGGGAGAGCACCAGCCTTGTCTCTGGGAGCTGCACTGTTTGCTCTGTTTGGGTGAGGCAGTGGCACCTCTGTCCTTCTGTGTTTGTCTACTTGTGTTTGTGGGGAGATTGGCCAAAGTTATGTAATGCCAGGCTCTTCCTGCCATGAGTCCTGGGGACTAAGGCACAGGACAGCCACTGCCCTGTGTGCAAACTGTTGGCTCTGGGGCAGTGTTTAAGGCTATGATGTGCTTGTTCCTGGGTGTGTTCTCAGGGAGTGTTCAGAGGAGGCTCAGCCAAGCTCCTGACAGTGGTGCCTGGTGACAGAGTGGGAGGCCACGAGCACAAACTGAGACACAGGTGGTTCCCCTCATCACCAGGAAATCCTTTTTTCCCTGTGTGAGTTACTGAGCACCAGCACAGGTTGCCCAGGGAGGCTGTGGAGCCTCAGAGCAGTGGCACACGTGGGCCCACATTTCCCTGTTTGCTATGAACACCAAACCTGTTGCTGTGTATAGAACTGTGGAGTCACTTTTCATTCCCCATTCCCATCCCTGGTGCCATATTCAGCTGACTTGAGGATATCATTTAAAAGTGAGTCCAAAACACCTGAGCTGAGGTTGTTATAGCCCAGGCCTGTGCCAGTAGCTGCAGATATGCTTCAGTTCCTCTGTTTGCATTTTGAGGAGACCAACTGTGAGCCAAACCCAGCGAGGTTTATCAGCTTGAGTTCAGTACCAGGTGAATGTAGCCATGGACAAAGGCTAGGGAGTGTTTTCTCAACATAATCTGGGTGTGCATGCTTGAAATTGTAGTGCCTGAGGCATGCAGGTGTGCATTGAGCCAACGCCTGTTGCTGGTTACAGTGGGTGCCTGCAGATGTCTGGATTCTGTTTCTTTTTTCCATATTTCTAATACTGCAGTAATTTGTCTATTACTTCTCTCAGTCCCTACCACGTATGGTGCATTTGTGCCTTTGAGAAGCTGTGTCCTAATGCTCAGTAGGAAGATCAGAGCCATTCTCTTTCAATACTGGTGACAGGCAGAAAGAGACATTTTTGCATCTGAATGGCTGTTTTCTACAGTGCTCCACTGCCAAGGCAGCAGTTCTGTTCCTCATTGGGCATCGTGGGGGAAGTGGTTTACAAAGCTAAAAATACCTTATTATTCTGGTAGTGAACCAGAGGTTCCAGGTTTTCAAATTAGTCCCTCATGTGACCAGCCTGGTGAGTGGTTGATGTTGACACAAGGAATTTTCCTAGCAGGAAGTGTAGAGCTGCACTGTTGTGGAATTCCACACCTCAGACTCGCCCAGGCTGGCTGAGAGGTGAGCAGAGCAGTGGGCCTGGTTTCATTGGCTGTGGTGGCAGTGCAGGACGTGGACAGTCCTGGTCTGACTGTGCTTCTGGAGGAGCTGCATCCTCTGGAACTCGTTGTGGAAGGCTGTCTTAGGCTTGCACATCTCTTTGCCTCACCAACTGCTGCTCCAGCACTGTATTCCGTCAGCTGAAGAGACTAAGCTCCTGCCAAGCAGCATGAGGAACCAGGACATGTCTGCAAGAGCAGGAGAAATCCAGGATCCACAACAGGGCAGACTTTTCACTTTTTGTGCTTATTGCAAGTGACTGACTAACAATCTTAGAGAGTGTAGTATGGAGGATGAGGGATGGATTTATTTCTTTACAATGGGGTAATTTGTTTTCCTCTTCTTTGTCAGGAGTCTTGGTTCATGCCACCTGTCAGTACCCAAGAGATAAAAAGGGATGGCATGAAGGACCTGTGTGTGACTGCTCTGCCTTGGAAACCTCCTTACTACTGAACCAGCAGCCTGTGAGCTCCTTGGAGCATAAAGCAGGTTGGTGTTCACATGCCCTTTCTGCTATTGATGCTTTAATGTGCGTTCTGCAAGGTCAGGTGATTATAAGGTGTGACTGCTACAGATAAGTAATGCACTGCTCTTCTCCAGTGTCAGTGTTTCCACACTGTTAAGTGACAGTCTAAGAGCAACCAGCACCTCAAACTTGCCATTGTTCTCAGCCTGCACCACTGCAGTGCTTCTCCTATCCAGATGTAGGGATTTTCTGAACTTTCCAATGTCTCTGTCAATCTGTTTCTTCAGCCTGTTGAGATCCTTCTGGTTTGGCAGCTCTGTACTTTGGCTCTTGAGCTGCTGATTAGAATCTGGTGAATGTATTGAGGTGGATTGCATCCCACTGTCTCAGTTAGTAATGGAGCACTTAACTGGCTGCTCTCCCCAAAATGACAAATGATGTGCTGCTGGCTGGTACTGCTGCGTATTTTTTAGTTCTTCACCTCCACTTGCTTTATCAGTTTGGCTCCTGAATTTCAAGGAGAGGAAAGTATGCTAAGCAGCAGCCAGGGAATATATTGGCCTTGTGCAACCTGATCTAGTGAGGAGATGTCCCTGCCCATGGCAGGGGGTTGGGACTAGACGATCTGCAAAGTCCATTCCAACACTTAAATTCTGTGATGATTCTACGATGATCCAGACTATTCCCCTGTGTCAAGGTCCTGTTCCATATGTGGCATGCAGAGCTCTCATCATCTCTGTAGCTGTGTTCTGACTCTTGGTTCTGTTTCAGGCTGAAGATGCTGAGCCGTTTGTCAGGTTTAGCAAGTACTGTCTTACAAGAGCTGTCAGGGGAGGATGGAGATGCAGTTACTGAACCCTCTAGTGCTGTAAGTACACTGTTATCTAAAGACTTTCAGATCTTACTGACAATTAGTTTGGGGAGTATGAACCATTAGATTGAGTGATTGGGTGACAGTGGAAGGTTTCTCATCTCTGTGCTGCCCTGTGGCTCTTGAAACAGTGGATAGTGTGTGAGGGTGGCCCTCATTTCTGGTTTGCTCATGCTGTGTTCATCAAGGAACTCTTTGTTTTTGTGTGTTGGCTCATGGGTGCCCTGAGTTTTCCTCCTGCCTTCACCCACCTGTGCAGTTCCACTGGCTCCATGAAACATCTGCAGGGAGCAGAGTGCAGCACTGAGGAGTGGAGGGGAAGATATCACTTGGATGCTCTGGTGCAGACTGTTCATACTTCTTTCCTTCAGAGCTCTGTTTCACTGTTTCAGGTACAAGCTTTGGAGCCAGAAGCAGAAAGCATGGAGGAGGCACCTGAGGATGTGTTGGAACGCTTGGCCCAGACAGAGCAGCTGGTTGTGCAGCTGAAGGATTTGATCCGAGAGAAGGATGCTCAGCTCCAGCAGAAAGAAGCTGCACTCAAGGTATCATTGCTTTCTCTAGGGACCAAGAGTGAAATGCTGCTTCAGCTTTCTGTGCAAGCCAGTCTCTGGTTTCTTTGGAACATTTGAGACACCTGCATGACTAAGCACATAAATTCCAGAGCATTACTGGAATCTGCAGAATGGACCCTAACCCAAGACACGCAGGATATCTTCTGTACCTTTTGATTAGGGTTATTTCAGTCTAGAGTAGGTAAGTCACATCCAAGTTATTGTAGCATTTTGTCTCAGAGCTCCTCAAGGCCTGTGCAGGTTCCTGGTGGCTCTGATAAGTACTAATACCTTGTGTGAGGTGGTTCTTTCCCCACTGCAGTGTTTGAGGCAGAGTAGGCTGTGCTGCACTCACCCTGCAGTGCAGTGGTGTTATGGGCATGTACCCAGAAGGATGTATTGCTTACTCTGAGGTACAGTGTGAGTGTGGTTCCTTGAAATACCTCTGAGGAACTGCCCAGAGCAGAGGAAGTCAAACTGAGTTTGTACTCACTGCTGGGTGAAGTCCTCCGAGTACTCTGTCCCTTGTGAGGCAGTGCTGGGGTTGAAGCTACAATTTTGCTATGTGTATTGTTGCAGAACAAATGTGATTTGTGGATATTGCAGAATCACTGAGGTTGGAAAAGACCTCTGAGATCATGGAGTCCAACCTGTGACCCATCACCACCTTGTCAGCTAGAGCAGAGCACTGAGTGCCACATCCAGTCCTTCCTGGACACCTCCAGAGGTGGTGACTCCACCACCTCCCTGGGCAGCACATTCCAATGCCTGACAACCCTTTCCTTTCCATGGATCTTCTGATGTCCAGCCTGAACCTCCCCGGCACAGCTCGAGGCTGTCTCCCCTTGTCCTGTTTTAAATGTTTCAAACAGCACAGTTACTGGGGAGGTTGGATGGAGGCTGACAGAGCAGCAAGTTTTGTGGCTTTTCCAAGTGGTGTGTCCCAGGTGGCAGCACTGGAGTGTGATGTGTAGTCAGTCTGTGTCCTTCTCTTGCAGGAAGAGCGAGAGGCTGCGGATGCGAAGCTGATGAAGCTGAAGCTTCAGGCCAAAGCCAAACTGTCGTCCCTGAACAAACGCATCGAGGAGCTGACAGGGAAAGGATCTCCCTTGCCCACACAGGCCTTACCAGAAGAGCAGGAGTGTCCCAAGGTGAGGAGAACAAAGCCACTCCTGATAAGATGGTGCTGCCTGACCTTTTAGGTCCCAGTGAGCCAGCAGATCCTGTTTGTCCTGTTAGCAGGACATTCCTAGTTCCAGCACGGATGTCTGTGTCTAAGCTGTAGGAAGCTTGTCTGCCTTGCTTCCTTGTACTGCAGTTACCCTTGGAGTGCTCAACTTGATCTCCTCAAGGGCTTGTGCCAGTTCCCTTTGCATAACTTCAGTAATCCCTTTTAGCCAAGCTCTTCCCTGCAGAAATCCTGTGTGTCTCTGAGCTGTGAGTTTCAGAATATTATATGTCATGTGACTACAGCAAAGGTTGGCTGGAGTACAATAGCAAGGAGATCATTAAAACTGAAAGGCAGTGACTTAAATATCAAAAAAGAAATCTATATATTTCCAGCCATGTAACTTCCTGAGCCTCCACCAAGTGTTACGGTTAACAAGCCACAATTGTGCAACATTAGGTAAAAACTGAGGGAAAGTGTGTTCTACCAAGACCCTAAAGAGGCTGTTACTGCTACCTAGAAACTCCTGTTGGAGCTGGTGATTTTTGAAAGCTTAACATTGTTCCAGCTGATCACATAGTTTTCTTTACAAATTTGGTGATACTAAGTAGGAGAAATAGAAGTCCAAACAAATTACAAGACATCAGATGATGTTCATTAAACCATTAAACCAGAGACGATAAAGGTTATTTCAGACATTGAAAAGAAAGGTTAAATTACTGTAGGAAATATTAAAAGATGAGTGTCGGAGCTGTCAGGTGAGAGATGCCTACTGATGGTTCTGTGACTTGTGCTGACTAGTTTTGATTGAGGTCATCACAAAAGCATGGAAATGTGCTGCTGTAATTCACAGAACCACCTTGAGCATTCTTTTCAATGCAAAGCACCATTTGGTTTTCATACATGAAGAATTGGGTGATCTTGAGGATTGACTCAATATAAGAACAAAGCAAAATTTCACAAGTGCCCAGTCAAGCACCTGTGGTGTCCTGTTAGTGTGCACTGCCAGGCCATGGACTGCCTTCCCTGGCTGCAGAGGCCGTGGAGGCTGTTTAGCTGTGTCACTTGGCATTGCTGTGCTGCTGCTGTGGCTTTTTTTAGCTTACCTATATGCAGCCTGTGTGTGTCACAGCTCTGTGCTGCTACACTACCTTGTGTACACTTGCTGCTGTAGCCTACTGGGTGTTCTTCCTACAAAATTCAAGTTGATTAGTTCAAGAATGCAAAATGAGAGAAAGCTTATCCTCAGCTGATCTGTGTGATGCAGATTTAGGAAGAGGCCTACTCTTTTCTATATAAAGCAGTTACCCTTCAACTATTGTACTGAGAGTGGCAAGACCTTGTGTGCAGTGTTATCATGTCCTGCTCACTTGGAATCAGCAAAGATCAATTCTGACATCAGCAAAAGACTTTGTTCTCCCAATGTGTTAGTAGCTGCACTTATGAGACACTCAAATATTTGGTTATTTAATCAACCAAAGCCTGAGAGGTTTTATTTCCTCTGCATGATGTGGGCCCTGTGGGAAGGCTGTATTTAAATATCTAGTTAGTACTCTTACTTCCTGGGCTTTTAGCAGAGTCCTTGCCTTTGAGAAGAATGGAAACACCAGCCTGTATCTTTCTTTGTGTTGCTATTTGTATACAGAACAACTGAGGCTCCTCTTAAACTTTTGAAGTGAGTAAACACAAATTCTGTTCACATGGAAGAGCTGGTACATATTGGAAAAACATAGATTTGAAAGCTTGAGCTCTGGGAACTCTGTGGCTGTGCTGCTGTCCTTAGTTGTGGTACTCCATGTAGTGGCCAGTGTGCAAGGACTTTGTAAGAGGCTTTTCCAAATCTGACCATAAATATCTATCTTGAAAGCTAATTACAAGTAAGCAAATTAATCCACCGATCTTTGCCCCGTGGAACTGCTGTGTCCCAGCCTGGTCAGTTATGTATATCCCTGGCTGCTTAGAGCTCCTGCATTTCTGTTCATTCTTTTTCTGTCTTGTTCTATTTCTACACTTAAGTGCAATTAAAGTTTCTGGTCTGTCTGTTCTACCTTCTGCCAAAGACCTCTGTAGGTGAAACAACTTTTGAGGAACTACTTATTCTTCCTACTTATTCCACTGACTTACAAATCCTTTGGCATGTGGAGAATATTCCTCTATAGGTGATTACAAATGTTTTTATTTCTGGTGCTAGAGAAATCTGGGAGGTTAAAAAGCCTCATAAATCAGGATGGTCATACCATAAATTATGTGTTACACTGTATTTAATAATCTGATTTATATTAGTTTATGTGGGAAGCTGTCATGGACAATTAGGCATTCCAAGTGATTTGGCTCATCCCAGTTAAAGGCACAGAAATAGGGAAAATAGTTACTTGAGACAACTTCATTTAAAGAAACAAAATGTGAAGAAATCAAGGAATGTAGTAGGATTAAGCCTCTGGTTAGGAGTCAAGAGTGCAGCAGCATTCTAGTTTGTTTTTTTTACTTGATCAGTAGTGCTGATCACTTTACTTTCTTGTTTCTCTTCTCACTTCTCTCCTCTTGCAATGTCAGAATAATGAAAATGCACGTGAAGGGCACAGAGAGGAGTTGGAGGCACTGAAAGAGCAGCTCAGGGAGCGAGAGGAAACTGTTCAGGACCTGAAGGAGCAGCTGGCTCTAGCCAAAGCAACTCTGGAAAATGCTGAAATCAAGTATGCAACACAGGTACTGAAATGTTTTCTGTTCATCTGTGTGTGTGTGTGTGTGTGTTTGTTTCCCACCTCACCTCTCACACTAGCATGGTAGAACAGAACAGTGTTTACACAACTGTAGTTCCCCTATCCTCTATTTGTTCAGTTTTGTTCCACCTCAAATCACCTAGATCCACCAATTTCTCTGCCTTTGGTTCCTCCTCTAAACCTTCCATAGATCTTACAATCCCCAAATGCTCTTCACTTGCCCCCAGAGTCCATCCTGTGCCCCCAGGCCTGAACCACCGGTCAGTACCCTAAATTGCAGCTTTAGCTTTTGAATTATGCTGCATCCTACACAAATAAAACCCCCACACGTTTTATGAACTGATAATTATACAGCAATCCTATATTTTACTGTTCTGCATATTTGTAGATGAAATTCTACAAGTTTTGCTCTCTGAGACCTGAAATATTACCAGTTAACATACACATATTAGTAGGATGAAGATGCCATTTGACCAAGGTGAGATATAGAATCGTCAAGCTGAAAACTTCATCACATGTATAATATGCTGATGCATGTTGGAGGCAAAGCTGTATGTCTGTCAGGCTCATGACCTTCTGGTTTTGTGGCTTATGTTTCCAGCTGAGCTCCCTGCAGGAAGTGATTCAGGAGAAGGAAGCTCTGCTGGAAGAGCAGGTGCACCAGCACCAGGCTGAACTGCTCAAGGTAGCAACCCAGTCAGAGCTGGAAGTGGAGATGCAGCAGGTATATGTAATATCATGACCTTATTGTGGGAGGGGGAAAGAAGAGGAATTTTACCAGGCTGAAGACACCCTGAGAGAGCAATTCTCATCAAAGTAACTCAGAGAGGGTGAGCAGAGAGGTTATTTGACTGGTGGAGATTTTTGGAGTGCTAGTTTGGGCTTTGAGTCCTGACTCCAATTTGCTGCTTTGCTATCAATTGAAAGGGAAGAACAGTTAAAAACAAGCATTAAATTATTGTTCTCCAGTTCCCTATTTGTGAGACAGTGCTGAGCTCTTCCTGCTGCACCAGAGCCAGGAACTGGTGCCAGCAAAAACAAAGTGGTTCATGCTATTAAAATAATTGTGCTATGAAAACCAGGTGTGTGGGTGAATCCAGGGAATCCAGCCTTGTGTTAGCCTCCCAAACTCTGGAACAGCCTTGTCTCCCTCACAGAACCTGCGCACACTCCAGAGGAAGCTGGAGGAGCAGGAGGCAGCTCTGCTGGGACGCTCTCAGGTGATAGAACTGCT